CAATTTAAATCTCTAAAGTCTGGCCTTGAGAAAGTCTGAACAGCCCAAACACAGAGGGGTGTGGTGCGGTGAGATGATATAGAATTGAGGGCAGTGGGGGTTGTGCAGAATTTCTTTTCTTAAATGAAAAGCCCAAATAAAATAAATAAATGAAAACATAAATCATGGTGTCTTCTCCAGGCTCCTGGCTGGAGGAAAACAAATTAGAAAGGGATTGAATGAAAGGAGTATTGAAGAAGCTTGACTTGAATTAAGTGGTTATATATTTTAAAAGCACTTTGTTGGGTCCTGTAAAAATAGCAAATAAAAAGGTAGTAATACCCCTGGCTCTGCGAGGCGAATACCAGTAATAAAGTGAGCTTGGGGGAAAAAATTTAAGAATATAAACCTCTGTAGAAGGGAAAAGGAAAGCATTCGGTTTAGAAACACTTTCATTTCTCTCTTAATAATTAATGATGAGGTGCTACGTTTTCAAACAAATATCATGTGTCTTTCTAAAACCACCTACCCTCTTCTTAAAATGGCCCCAAATGAACCTAAAGGACATAAACCTGAAAATTTTTTTCTTTTGACAGGAAGCCTAAAGGAGCTATTTCAGGGATATCAAATAGTTATTATTTGGGTCCATTTTACAATCCCTTTATTCATAATTTGAGAAAAAATTCACAATAAAGATTACAGCCAGCAACCACCACAAGAGTCAAAGATTGGTTTGCAATTCCTTTTCTGATCTGCTGTGTTATTAATTTCAAAATAACATTAACTGGAGAGCTTAGCTATTTTCACAAATATATAGTGGTTTGGGCAACGAATCTTGTAAAAATAGTTATAGAGAAAAATAACATGGGAAAAGTTTCCAGGAATGAGCTAAATGAACTTTCTCCTTGTTAGGAAATGTTTAAGTCTTTTTGTTTGTAAATGGCAGGTGGGTTGTACAATTCCAATGTAATTTCAGAAAGCCATCTTCTGAATGTAATAAACATGTCTGCAATAATAGGATTCAGAAAATAGCAAAATGCATTCCAGACGCCCTTTGATTGTGCATACAGAACAGAGAATTTTGCTATAATTGGCTATAACACAGTTATGGTCAGCAAATGACACACTGTGGAGTTTGGTGATGTAGCAGCTCTGATGAGGAATGGTACATTTCAGCTCAACACCAGAAACAAAGTAGCAGCATTATAGTGACACAACACTTTCATTCATTCCCTCCCTCCCACGCTCCCTCCTTCTCTTCTTCCCTCCCTCTCTTTCTTCCTTTCTGTTTAATTGAAGGATCATAAATTAGACTAGAAAACTTATTGTATTATTATTATTCAACTAATCAATCATCAGCCAAGACTCCCTTCTCTTCAGAGGCTAACAATTGTATGGAAAGGGGAAGTAAGAACCCACGGAGAATTGACTTTTGGAGAACTAGATGTAATTTGAATCAAGAATTATAACAGTAAATAAGCCATTACAATAAACAAGGAAACAGGTACACAATTACTTTCACGGTGTAATTTTATTCACTCTACTTGAGAAAATAAAGAGATAATACTGACCATAGCACCTGGGTATTTAATACGAACTATAAAATCTATTATTATTAAACAAAGTCAAAAGCAATGTGAAAGATACTGAATCTATTCAAGGCATGCACCTCATTACAGACTTAGCAAATTAAAACACAAATAGGATTAGAAAAGAATAATGTAACAATCTCCCACTACGGTCCCTAGAGCATTAAGTCATAAATTGGGTTTGCATTAAATTGTGCCTGCAGTATTGAATTCAGGGAAAGAGCTGTGGGCTGGAGATAAACCATGCCGGGCTACTCACCAACTTTGGCAAAGCTATGTGTTTTCTGAGACATGTAGTAAATTTGTTGGAATATAGCAGGTCCACGCACACACGCATACAAAGGAGCATTTCATATCTTAATTCTAAAAATGTCCAGTGTCACGCCATATGAGGGCTGCAGACATATAGATGCAGACAAAATCCACATGTGAAATGGAGCTATGTTACCAACTTAAGTTTAAAGCCATTTCACTACATGCACTGCTTAATACCAGACACATTTTAAAAAGATGAAACAAAACTTCTCAATACAAGGCGAGGGCTGCAGACATATAGATGCAGACAAAATCCACATGTGAAATGGAGCTATGTTACCAACTTAAGTTTAAAGCCATTTCACAACATGCACTGCTTAATACCAGACACATTTTAAAAAGATGAAACAAAACTTCTCAATACAAGGTTTTTAATAAATTTTGTTTTGTTTTTGCTTTTCCTCTTTATTTTTTTTAAATTTTGCAAAGGAAGGAAGAAAAGGAAAAAGCAAACCATTCTTTTTAGAAAACATATGTGGACTTTTAGAATATCCAAAGGAAAGTTCTCTTTCATTTCACATGATGATTAGACCTTAGTTACTCTGATTAGTCAATGGAAAAAATACATATGACTTATTTTAAAAAGCAGATGAATATACTTAAATCAGTTTTTTAAATGATGCAGACTTTGAAAGACACTCCACTGCAAAGCATGTTTCTTCCATTACAGTTGACTTTCTTGGGTTTGTTTCCTATTCCCCTGTGGAAGAAAGGCTAAGTCAGGAAAAAACCAAATTGCTTTGATTATTCTATGGCGTCCACATGCTGTGCCTCTGTCCTTAAGTTCATTTTTGTCTATAGCTTCTTTGCAAACTGGCTGGCCAACCCTGCCCAAATGCAGACAGCCAGCTGTTGGTTCTTATTTCTTCATTTCCAGGTGCAGGACACAATTTATTTTCTCTTCTTTTTCCTTGACTTCCTAAGACTTATGAGAATTTAAGAAAATCAGTATAAAGTGTCTAGGAGATAGTGTGTGCTCACAAATGTTAGTTTCTCTGCTCCCACTTGTTCACTGAGCGTAGGTCACGAAAGCAAAATTTGCCAGGTGTCCCAACCTCACTGTTCCCCCAGTGGAAGTCTAAGGGACAGTGCTCAGTGCAGGCAGGGACTCTCTGGCTCTCTGGCAGGGAAAATTTCTATATCTTCCTGCTGGGGGAAAGCCAGGCCTCCTCTTTCTCCCTGTTTCTTTTCCTTCCTTCACTTTGGGCTCCCGTGACTCTCCCTCCCAGCCCTTGAAGCTATTCTGGCCTCCAGGCGACTGGTTTCTCCATCACACATAGCAGCAGACAGTCTGTTTAAACCTGCATTCTCTATTTTTAAAAGCTTATTTGAAAGTCTAAATGGCTCCCATTTTGGTTCTAGTAAGACAAATATAGGCTAAAACACGCGGTGCCCCTTAAGTATGATGGATACTCAGGGCCGGCTAAAGTTTCCCATAGCCAAAGTCTGGCGTCTATTGTGGCAATTTTTCTGCCATGTTATTTATGTGGTGGTTTCACTTCTAATTACGGCTCATCATGGCTGTTAGTGCTGAGCAGTAAGAGAGCAAACTGCATTGTACTGCCATTTAACTCCGGCCCATAAATCGGGTGATAAAGCTGAGGGCTTAAAAACCAAACCAAACCGAAACACGGAACTTTCTGTGACAAGCTCACATCCGCTTCTGCCCCGTTCTCAGGCTGGAAACTTTCACTGAGGAAACACATGGGGACAGGTGACTTCTGAGCTCTGGGTGCTTCGAATTTCAGCTCAGGCTTCACCTTTAAGTAATCCTTTATTGTAGACAAAACAACCCAAGACTTCAGATATAATTAACACATGTCAGGTTTAATCAGATCCAGCGTATTTCGTTGTTTGGAAACTAATGAAAGCAAATAGATGTTACTTAACACCGTACATAATGAAGGTCTTTTGTTGTTCTCAATTTTGATTACTGTTTTTTGATGCTAAGAAGAATGCCACTTGGTGTGTGTGTAAACAAAGAAGATAAATGGCTGTGATGAGAATGAGTTGTCCATAATCTGATTAAAGCAATAGAGCTGGCTCCTAGGAGAACTGCACGGGGCTTAATGATTGGGTTGTTGTTCTTAATATGTCTAATGTTCACTCTTGAAGAAATCAAGAAAAATGTTAAGAGGTTCCTGATATTTAACTGTGGCAGTGGGCTGTTGGAGCCTCTGACAGGAGAAAAACATTCTCTGTGGCTGGAGCACAATGTCCAGCCATATAAGCTAATTTGCCCAAATGATATTACGAGGCATTTAAAACTTAAATCTGCCTCAATTCACTCACTCTGCTGGCAGAGCAATCAGGGACAGGACAAGGACAGGCTTGGTTTTGTTGAAGTTGGGATGTGCTAAAACAGTTACAAAACACCACTTTTCTTTCTCTTCAGTTCTTTTCCCTCTTGACAGAATTCTGGATTTCAGTAAGATGTCTGCTAGTGTTTAGATAATAAATACATTGTTTAAAAGGCTTCAGATACTCTAGCCTGTTAGGACATTAGGGAGAAACCTTAGACTCATTGTTGAGCTCTGCAGGAGCTCGTTTTGGTTGAATGTAATGATTTGTGCCTTCTTTCTTTTAATGTAAGTTCTGTGGTTGTATGTGTGACTGAAGGCAATAATTATTCATAAGTAAGTGCTGCTGCAAATTCAAATCACTTACAGAGGTCTGACTATGTGCACTGTGCATTGCCTCCAGTATACAGTCATCATGGAGCTTGTAGATCTCCTAGTGCGTTTTAAGATTACCCCAGTGATATTCAGCCATTAGGGTCTTTGCTGCCTTTGAAACTCGAGACTGGACAATTGGATTCCAGATGGATGGGAATTGGGTTGTCTGCTTACTTCAAATCAGCAACCCAAATGATTTTGAATGCTCTCATTTCAATTCAACAGATATATATTGAAAGCCTACTGTATACTAGTGTCCAATTTTACAAATGAGAAATTGAGGTTCAGAGAAGTTAAATAGTGTCCCCAAAGCCACTAGCAGAGTGGTTCGTCAATACCTTAATCCCAACTTGTAAAAAATCCATCTCATTCTCAAGTCCATGCTCTTTCTGCCACCGTATGTGTCTCAATCAACAGTTAAACCTCCATGTTTCAACAAATATTAAACATCTCTTTTCTTGATAGGGTCTATGAATCTGATAGAAACAGGCCACTGAGCCTTTCCCAAGGCAGGAGAAGCAGCAGCTGGCAGGGGCTTGTCCAAATTAACCCCTGCACCATGGCAGGCGGGGCGTGGTTTCAAAATACTTCTCAGTTCCTGGTGTGTCTGTCTCCTTTTTCTCTCCCAGACCAGCCTTTGGCTTTGGTCACTTCCTAAGCCCAACAGATTGGGCAGATTGAGGTTGGATTCCTAGAGACACAGGGCAGACATTTGGGTGGAAAGGAAGAGTGAATGAGAGAGAGAGAGACAGAGAGACACAGAGAGAAAGCGCAGACCCTCTTCCTGTTTTTTCCAAGCCTTTTCCCTCTACTGGTGGCACATTTTAGAGCCATGTCACACACTGGCTCCCTTACCTGAGGGAGGAAAGGAAAAGAGATGAAACAAAACCACAGCTGTGGTCTTTCTTAGGCCTCTGGTTAAAAAAAAAAAAAAGATGGGGGAAGAGATTGGAACTAAGCCGCTTTCTCTTAGAACATGCTGGCGGTAATTTTAGTGGCAGGGTTTTGGCATCTGAACAAGTTAGCTAAAATATTTGAATACAATGAGCTCTGCTGCATGGTGGAGTGAAGACAGCCCAAGGCTACCTGGCACAGTCGAATGACCTTGGGCAAGCCACTTCACCTCACTGGGCCTCAGTTTCCTCTCCTACTCCAGGCACACGATGAGCCAGACAATCCTGAGATTTCGCAGGAGAGCAGCGAGGAGCAGCGCAGCACGCCTGCAACCGGGGTCCGCAGACTGGCCTGAATCTCAGCTCTGCCGCTCAGTTCATGCAGGAGCTGTGTGGCTTGGGTTGAGCAACTCAGCTTCTCTGAGACTTTCCACCTCTGTGAAATGGGGAAAAGACATCTACATCAAAGGGTGATTAAGAGGTTTTAGACTGGCTAATGCACAGCTTCTGGAGAAAGCATTTCCCCAGGACTGGAAAGAACTGCCGAGTAGCATGCTTTGAAGGTGAGTGAAAGAGGATGAGTGGTCTGCAAAGAAGAGCGGGCTGGGAGTGGGCTGGAGGGGCTCTGCAGGACCCTTCCCAAGTGGGGAGAAAATGAAGTAACTGTAAGTAGCAGGACGGAAAACAGGATGCCAAGCTCCAGTGGGAACATTGCCTTGCGGGAAGAAAAATAAATCTCCAAACCCCCGCCTCCTTCCTTACTGCTTCTCATTTCTTAATTCTTTATTTATAATGAAGATAGGAAGGTTCACAACTTTGACAGTTCCATTTATTCCTACCATTTTCACCTAAAACAATACTATGCACAGCAATTATTTCCACCCGAGTTTTAACTGCAGCTAGATAAATGTCAGTATTAATTCAACATGTTCTATGCACTCTGTATGTCTGTTCTGTTTCTCTGTCTGTCTGTATCTCTTTATCATTAAACACCACACAATCCCTCTCCTTTTTGTCCTTCTTATCCCCATTCTCCATCCTCACTGTTGGGCACAGGAAAACACCTAATAAGGACTCCACTGAACTGAACGTGCTGAACCCATGACTAGGAACCATGTTGATGAAGAAGCCCAGAAGAGCAAATCCCCCTGAGAAGGGCACAGGGAGGATCCCAGGGAAGGAGGGGGGACGCCTGCTGTTCCTACGCTCACTTTCCACCATCTCCAGGTGACAAGAGGCTGCCCCAGCTATTCCGCCACACAGGGAAGTTGACCCATCCCTATCAGTGCCAGGTAGAGGACAGAGGGGCTTGCACATGAGCAAGAGAAATGACATGACTCCGAGCTCCACTTCTCCCTGGGGTTCTTCCTTAGATGTCGCTTAGCCAGTGTAGCTGGGACTCTGTGGACACATCAAGCTCCCAAGAATGCCACAGGAGCTTTCTTTGCATAATCATATTCAAATATTTATATTTTTTTTAGAATTTGTTCCTACAAGATTTTTTTTGTTATCCAAATCTATTTCCAAGATAAATCTGGATCTCTTTTATAAGTAACCACAATGAAAAACAGAATGACAGAGGAAGAAAGTAGAACTGAAATAACTGAAAAGTAGCAGAGGAATTACATGTTACCAGATATCTGAGAGGAGATCGTTAAAACAGGTAGGCATGGCACTGAGCTAAGGCAAAAGGTAAAATCTGGAATGGTGTAGTTCATATTATCTGACAAAACGAAGAATGCACATCTTTTGTGCTAAGCCACACTGCTTCACGGAACAAACTCAAGGAGGAATGTATTACGTGGGTTCTTTTTAAATGCCTGTTGGATGACCAGTTGAACAAAGTGTTCAGATGCAGTTTTGCAAAAAGACAAAAGAATTTGATATGAAATACTGACTCTTTCTGAAAGGGTGACAGAATTAAGATTACAGAGGCAGACCCAATACTTGGTCACTACCTTTTAAATTGGTCTGTAAGGATTATTTTGTATATGTTTCTATAGCTGCTATTTTGATACTAATTTTATTTTTTTATCTGTTTCACATTTGGCATTACTGAAATAAAAGTTACTTTATTCTGTTTGATCAGAAAAAATAAATAAATAAATTGGTCTTAACATGATCTTTTAAAAAAACAACCAAAAAACTACTTTTAAAATACATTTTTCTTATATCAAAAGTAATACATGCTCATTGTAGGAAATTTATAAAATACAGGTGAAAGAGAGAAAGAGAGAGAGAAGTCTATAACCCTGTGACTCATTTAACCACTGATAGCGTTAGAGTCATTGTCCCATGTTTTTGTCTATGCACAGATATGCATGTCTATTTTACGAAGACAAAAATTACTACACATGAATTTTTTAAACATTTTTTTCATTTATTAATATACCATGCATATTTCCTATTCAATTAAATATCTCTACAAACATGCTCATTGTAGGAAATTTATAAAATACAGGTGAAAGAGAGAAAGAGAGAGAAGTCTATAACCCTGTGACTCATTTAACCACTGATAGCGTTAGAGTCATTGTCCCATGTTTTTGTCTATGCACAGATATGCACGTCTATTTTACGAAGACAGAAATTACTACACATGAATTTTTTTAACATTTTTTTCATTTATTAATATACCATGCATATTTCCTATTCAATTAAATATCTCTACAATGTCACTTTGAATGCTTGCAATGCTATGTTGATACTACTACTATAGAATACATCAGGAAGTTATTATTAAAGTATATTTAGCTAATCCCCTGGGTGCTAGATATTTGGGTTTCTAACATTTCACCTTTTTAAACAATTCTGTGATGAACATTTCGTGTTAACTATGCTCAAGGTATCCTCTGTGACCAGTTGTGTCTCAGAGAAGGGGAGTCTAGGCTATTTAATGAATTATTTGCCCAATACTTGTGGACATAATCTGTACTTTTTGCACTTTTCCAGGCAGAGAGGAGAAAGTAGTACTGGGAACCCACAGTCTTGGTTTAAAGAGCATTTTCTGGGCTGCTTAGTGACGAGAGTAGAATCCTTTGTTTTTGTCCCTGGGTCCTCCTACAGCCTCGGGGTAGGATGGAAGCAGAGAAGACAGAGTGTGGGGGACACAGTGGAGGCAGACAGGGATGTCAGCCACTGATCAGAGCCCTAATATCCTTCGAGGGGAGTAGGCTGTAATTTCTGTAGATGTGCTTGTCTACCCAAGAGTCTGCCTCATGTCGGGAGCACGGCGGCCCTGCATAGAGGTGGGCTGCATTTGGATACGGTTACCCTCCCATATTTGGAATTTGGAAGTAGTTCTCCTTCTCTGTGATTCTTCAGAAGACTTGAAGATGTTTTGTGATCTAACCACCAAAACTGAAATCCCCTCCAGAGAGCCACACTAATACATGACCCCCCATTCCATCACGTACTCTCTACGCATGGTAATCCCTAGTCACCCTCAGACACATGGGAATTGATACTACTTTGGAACACTGATAAGAAAGGATTTTTCTGGCTAACGTGGTATAATAGCAAACACAGCTAAAAAGTACCCCCAAGCATGTCTCTCTGCATTTGCACACGTCTAACTTCACTCTAAAGTACACGTAGATGGAATAAATATTTAGTCTTAAATATCTGAAATTATCGTAATCTTATTCCAGCACTGTTTTTTTTTCCCTAAGTGTTTTTTTATTTTCTAGATTGTACTTCAGCTCCAAAGGACATACTTTTGGGAAAAACTCCATTAGACGTTGTTGGAGCAACTTTTATTATTCATTAGTGTGTTTTAAAGTGGACCTGAATAGAAATGCTTTTTGCTAAAGTAAAAATACATCAGTTTCTATCATCTAATTGTACAATTGGTTAGAATTTCTATCTATTGGTTCAAAGGGAAACTTAGTTTCAGTGAATTTGTTTTTAATAAAAATGTGTTATCTATGATAAATATATTTCACTTTGTTCAAATGGATTTGATTGGGAAAACATATTGAGCAGAAGTACTGGTAGAGCTTAATTTCATTGCTTTGAGAAAACATATTGAATGCTGGTTTGAATTAAATTCTATTTGTTTTAATAAAAGTGTATTGGCCTGAGTGTACATATATTTGTTTTAGTGGCAGTGCATTGGATCCAATAAAACTATATTGGCTTCACTGCTTACGTCTCCTTTTCAGTGAAAATGGATTGAATGGGAAAATGAAACAGGCATGAAGCAGCCAGCCCCAAGGACTCTGTTTGGTGAGAGTATCCAAGTAACCTGGGAAGGAGGGGGGTTTCCATAGACTTTACATCAAAATATGCTTTTAAATTTAAATACGTTTTACTATCAAGGACTCAGATTTGAGACCGAATTGCCATCATAAAGAATTCAATTTTCTCAAGCAGCCCTTTCCACAGACAAGTTATGTTGCTGTTCAGAGGAAGAAATTCTATGGCAGCTCAGAGCAGGTTTGTCAACATCCCTGAAGCTTTATATGGGCCTCATTGGTTCCAATAAGATGCTGTCTACCAAGCATTCCTAAATCCCTTAAATGAACAGAGAAGAGATTGTGAGTTCTCCCTAAGGATAGTGCTGGCCCATCAGCACTGAAACGGGTCTGAATTTGAACTGATTAAAAAGGGGGAAAAATTGAAACAAGCTTTACCCTGAGACAAATGTCAGAGTTACTAGACTTTGCAAAGATTACAGCCCCTTGGAGAGTAACCACCCCCCAGAGGGAGCTGACACTGGTGCCGCTGTCTAGAAAGTGGCAGCCTTTGCAAAGTGCCATGGCTATGTTTTGCAGCTGTTTGAGGCTCTCAGGTGTCCAGGCCACAAGTACTCCTTTGCATAGAGGTCCTGACCCAAAATGCCAGAGTTAAAATAATAACTAATAATAATATTGGCAGTTTCTGTTATGTGATGGTCTCTCTATTAAGAAAGTGTGTGTTCTGAATTGTTTTTCACCCCAGAAGACACATTTGATCTGACTCTTCCACCCAGTCTCATTTAGCCTTGATGAGAAATAAACGCCAACACTACTTTCATTAACACCTTTGCTCCAATTCAATGTGCTAACAAGCTCTAGACTTCAGCCTTCCCACGAATAACTGCTAATTCTCAAGTCGTACCATGACCAAGGAGCCTTAAGCCCTCAGTGTATAGTTGCGCATTTTTTGAATGTCTGAATTCTTAGAAGACCCTACAAGGTTAAGCGAGGAAAACTTATTGACAGATTTTTCTTCCCAATTGTGGAAATATTCCCAATTATATATAGGAAGTCGAGAAGAAAATGGAGTTTGTGATAAAAAGTTTTCTTTGCTGTCCTTGGAGATGTGGGATTGTGACCCTGGGGACCGCAGGTAGTTCACTTTGTCAGAATGTAGTATTGATTCACCACACATCATAAATATGAGGTGGGTCCGAGTGTACAAATTTCAGAAAGAAATAGCAATGCACATTCCCCGTCTTAATAATGGAGTTTTCAAATAACAATCTTAGGATATTTCTGGTATTAAACAACAAGAATGCAGAAACTTATAATACTTTGGGAAGGATCACCGCTGGAGTTTGGGATGGTTGTGGAGAGAGACCAACTATATCTGGGAACTGGAAAACCTCATGTATAGATTTGTAGGGCCTCCTGGATGCAGGCTAAAAAAAAGAACAAGCACATCTTTTGGGAGGATCGATTAAAAAAAGGCAGCCCTTGCCTCTCCTCAAGACTGATGAGAGAAAGGCATTCCCCGAAATGATCTGGGAGGCATTTTTGGGAAATCCCAGAAGATGAGTGGGGAATGAGACAAAGACAGGAGGCAGCTGACAAATTGTTTGTTATTAAGCAAGTTACCACTGTGGATCACTGGAGTTGATCCTGCTGTAGAAACCTGGAGTCGATGTAGACCTGTGTTTTATAGTTTTCCCATCCAGTGGGCAAGGGACCTGAGGCAATTATACACTAGAAAAAACTGTAAGGCAAAGAATAGAGTTGGAAGTGGTAAGCTTGAAGGTAGGGACAGAACACTGATAAGGTCTGCTACCATATAAAGCCCATTTTACAGATGAGTAAACTGAGATGTAGAGGTTAAGTAGTTTTTCCAGTGACACACAGCTAAATAGCAGCACAGGGCAGAAAGTAAACCCAGCCTCTGCCTCACTTGAAAGCCAATGACTTAACCACTTAGCAACACTGGCCCAGCCATACTGTTCAGTTGAGAAAGCTGGCATTCTTCCAAGATTTAAAAACTGCCTTATGAGGGAATTTTAGTCTTACCTGAGTATTGCAGGTAGGAGATGGGGACTAGAAGTGCTATATTGCCTGAGCTTCTGCCTCTAAGGAGTGGTTGGATAGTGATCTATCTTAGGCTGA